GGCCTTCCTCTAGGTCTTGGAAAAATGGGTTTCTTTGCTATTCACTGTGTTCACTGTGGAACTGGTATTTTGTGGGAAAAGGTCATGCTTTGGATATAAAGGTTGAGTCCTCCTTTCCTCATTGAGAAATAGAGATCAGAAGTTTAGCTTGAACCTGAAAGTGATATCCCTAAAGCAGATAGATCTTATTCTAGCTTAGTGTCCCCTCTCTCTGAGGAGAGCAGAGTGGCCAAGCTTCTGGCCCCAGCCTCCTACTTCTGCTCCTAGTAGAAATTAAAGTCTCCCTTGGAGAAGAGTAGGAGGAGAAGAGTCTAGAGGTGGCTACTCTGCCTCCTTCTGAGCCCCATTCCACCCCCATGCTGTATGTGGGGGACAGCCTTGTTCCACCCTCAATCCCCTACCTCCACATGCTTACCTGGAATGTCCTCCTTCATTATTGCAGTGTCCTCAATTCCTTTAGGTCTCAGCTTCAATCCCACCTTTTGCAAGAGACCTTTCCTGGTTCCTCTCCATACCTCTGGATTTCCTCTCATTTCCCCCGACGATCTTGTTTGTCCGTAGGCGTTTACGTGCTCTCTTCTCCATTCGACTGTGAGCTTCTTGAAATCAGGAACTGGTTTGGTCTTGCTTTTGTCTTTCTTTTGATTCCCAGTGCCCGGCATACATATAGTAGGCATTTAATAAATACTTGTGGACTTGTTTAATTAGATGATGAGACACAGTGCTTTGAAAACTTTAAAGCCCTATGGAAATATCAGTTATTACAACTTGTATTGTTTCCCTGGGCAATGTGCACTATTGGAAATATTTGTTTGTGCTCCATGGAGGAGCTTCTTGGGCTGACAGGTAGGAAAGAACACTTGATGGGTTGGCACCCTACCAGTAACTAGTAAGACCGACCTAGTTTTTGAGCCCCCAGGCACTCTGGTTTGCAATGATTCCAGGCACACTAAGGTCATGGGACTAGAAACTTGTTCAGACCTGCCAAATTGACCTGGCTTTCACCTCTGTTTACAAGCTGCAAAGTCGCGCGCGCGCGTGTGTGTGTGTGTGTGTGTGTGTGTGTGTGTGTGTGTGTGTGTGTGTGTGTGTGTGTGTGTGTTTAAGGCTGGGGTGGAGGAATAAAGAAACTACCTTGCAAAACTGGCTTTCAAAAGGAAAAGAACAACAAAATAATTGAAACTGCATACTGCATGCTGGGAAATCATAGTGTCCACCCTGGGCCCCAAAGATGAGTCATGAAATGCCACTTTCCTGCCCCCACCTCCCTATTTCTTTGCATTTGAGGTTAGACTTTTTCGAAGTACTTGTTGGCTTGTGCTGAACTTTCTCTCTTTTTTTAATTCTTTCTTAAATGAGATATTGCTTCCTCTGGGAGGGTATAGACATTGAAATACGTTGGAAAATAGTAAAGAAAATAAAAGCTATCAGTCTAGTCGCCCACCCTGTTCTGGAGGCCTGGGGAGCAAGCAGCAAGACCTTTGGTGTTGTCAGGCCTGCCCTCTAACCAGTATCACTTTGGAGGGTCAACTTGGATCGGGGAGGGGTTAAACAACCCCAATTGGAAGCTGGGAGATGGGAGCAGGGCGTGACTAGGAATGGGAATCATTAGAACCCCACTCCAAGACACTCCCAGAACAAAAAGGAGAAATTTTTTAACGAATGAACAGTTGATGTACTGGCCTCCACTAAGCCTTCGAAGGTGCCCAGCTGGAGCTCAGTGCCATAGGCTCTGATGTGCCATCTCACCAGGAACTGATCTTCCTCCACTACCCTCAACTCAGCCTAGTAGTAGCCAAGAGATGGCAGATCTCAGGGCCTGGAGGAAGCCTCCTCAGCCTTTAACTCTCATAGCAGAGAATGCGGGCAGGAGTACAGGTCCTCCCAAGGGAAGGAAGCAATGATGCAAGTAGAATCCCACTGGATCTGTTAGAAAGTGCTTTGGAGTTTATCAAGTTTTCATGTCTGTCTTCTCCCATCCATACCCTACGTCCCATGACACAAATCCAATTCAGTCATGGTGTTTTTAGTTAACATATGTTTGTACGTAGAAGTAGGAGGAATTGGAGTAAGAGGTGGCCTATGGCCGTGAGGACCATATTGGAGGGAATGGGGACTGCTATCCCCGGTGCAGAGAGCCTGGGCTGCACACATGCTGGTACTGTGTCGGCACAACCATGCTGCCCTCTATAACTTCCTCCCAGCAACTCGTTCCTGCTGCTCTGTTCCAGGGCTATGGCAGTGGAAGCCTGCACGTTCTCTAAGCCAGGCCTGGAGCTGAATCACAGGGTCTGTCTGGGAAATGACAGAGCAGACCCTAAATGCTTTGGGTTTGGAGCGGAGAAATGTCCACTCCCTAATGTGATTCCTGGAAACTAGCAACAAAGGTCAAATACAGCGTTGGCTTGTTCTCTGGCCTCTTTCATCCAGGTCTCCATATAGAATGGCCTCCTGTGCTAGCAGCACAGACAGGCAAGGATTGTGGAGGCAGGTGTCTTCAAGTTCCCAAGAGAGACATGCACATAGATAGCATGAGGGGGATGTGCCCCTTTCCAGCTGAGTGGGTTTTAACCTCTGTTCCCCCTCCCTTTGCAGGGGTGGTGATATTCTCAGAGACGGAGAAGGAACAAAGCAAAACAAAAAGACCTCCTTGCAAAGGTACAAAATTAACCTGGTTTGCTTGTGTGCCCGAAGACAAAAGGGGAGTTGTTCTCAGCTCTGATTAACAAGCGTCACATTTCCTGGGCTCACTTCCTTTTTCTCCAGTTGTCTCAAGCATATGCAGCAAAGCTGGTCCTTCTCTCACCATGGTGGCCAAGACACCTTGGGAGAAGGCAAGGAAAGATAGTCTCTGAGATCAGGCAGTATAGCTGGAGAGTGTAGGAAAGATGATCACTATTGGACTGGGGCACTATTTGAACTAGCCTCCAAGGGCCCTTCAAACTCTGAGACTACTTTGTCTCCAGCTGGACTTCAATGTCCCCCACTAGGCACATATATTATGAAGCAATATGAAGATGTCAGACCTTTAGCAAAGTTACGATGGGCTAGAAGGCCTAACTGGCTTCACTGCTGGTTTGGATTAGTTAACACATTGTCTCTTCATGACATCTGGCCCCTTTTCCCTCATCAGTAACTTGAGGTCACATCTCTAAATGCAGGTGATGAATGAACCAATACATGAAATGACAGTCGAAGACACTTGCTGTACAACAAGCTGTGGATCATCCCCCAAATCGGTTTGGCTGGTGGATCAATGAGTGAGCAAAATCAGTAGATAGATAAGTGCCAAACTGATGCAGATCCTAAAGCATGGTTGGGCTCCGGGACCCCCTGGGTCTCTGGCTCCCTGCCTCCCCAGCTCTCTGGCTTCCTAGCTCCCCAGTTGCCCTGAGTGATTCAGCTTGTGGGGAGGCAGGAGGGATGTTGGGGAGCAGGGAGAGGCCATATGGAAGATGCAAAGCCCAGGCCTTTCTGCAGCCTGGGGGCAGACACTCTTTAGATGGTCAGGTATCTTACAGCTAGGAGAACAAGACACTAGCATGACATCTTCACATTGCTTCATAATATATGTGCCTAGTGGGGGACATTGAAGTCCAGCTGAAGACAAAGTAGTCTCAGAGTTTGAAGGGCCCTTGGAGGCTAGTTCAAATAGTGCCCCAGTCCAATAGTGATCATCTTTCCTATACTCTCCAGCTATGCTGCAGAAGAAACCCTAATGAAAATCTCCCAACACAGCCAAGATCTATGACTGGGGTGTGTTTCATCTACCTGGGACACAAGCTGCAGAGCTTTGCATCTTCTGACCAAAAGAGACACATTAATACCAGGGGCAGTGCTACTTCTATGTCTCCTGTCTCGGGAGAGGTAGCAGTCTAGCCCCTGCTGAGATTTTGAACCCAGCCAGCTGAAGCTGGAACGGCTCCTTCCTAACCCCACCCCCAAACACACTGGCTCTAGCCTTAGTTTCATCCAATGTCACCCACCCATCTTGGATCAATCCTGGTCCATTTGTCCATGTATTCTGGTTATAAAACACCTACCTACCCAGAGGCTTGAGCTCATGCACTGAGTCCAATACACCTTCTTTTCTTACACTGACCCTCATGTTCTGAGCACCCGCCTGGCTTGTTTGCAAGAGGTAAGCTATTTGATATGAAAGTCAAGTTGGGACAGTACTGAGGTGTCATCAGTTGGCCTTTGATTAGACTTGAGTTGACTTGGAGAGCTTCAGGAAACCCCTTCATTATTTCAAAACTGGCAACTACAAAGGGTGGGGGAAAGGGAAGTCCATCTGCCCTAAGGAATGGTCACTCCGACATCATTATATGCAAAGCACATTACTTAGTTTCTAATCTGGCAGACAAGTCAATCAGACTAGAGTGGTATAGGGAGTGGATGGTGCTGGATTTCAAATCAGAAAAACCTGGGTTCAGATCCCACCCTTAAACTTTCTAGCTATGTGGTAAGTCACTTCCCCTTTTTACGCCTCAGTTTCCTCCTCTATAAAATAAAGGGGTTGGACTCAATGACCTGAAAGGTTCCTTCTGACTACAAATCTATGATACCACAAAAAAGCAGGATGCCCAGCGTCTGCTGGATACTGACTCTCTCTCCCTTAGATGGAAGTGTCCCATTGCCTCACTCCACTCTGACTCTTGGTTCCACTATTCTCTGGGTTGGAGACCACCTGGGGTTACAAATCTGGGCCCTTGGGAGCCTTTTCATCTTCCCTGATGTTTTCCTTAGCAGAACCTAAATATTTCCTGGCTTTCCCATCTACTTTGAAAATGAACCCTTCTGTATGTATTATCTCCTCAATTAGAATATAAGCTTCTTGAGAATGCAGAATATCTTGATTTCTGTTAGCACACAGCTAATGGAGGGGGATAAAAAAGCATTTGGTAAACGCTTTTTTGTTACATTTCTCCTCCACCCCCTTGTAAAGACACCAAAATGCCTGAGTTAAAAGCAAAGAGAATATAGAATGAATCACAAGATTTCCACCACAATCCATAACATTTATTTCTTATTAGATACTACATTAAGTATAGAAGAAAATTGAATAATTGTAAAGGCAAGGAAAAAGCACTAATTACCCTATAAGCAATGCACAGAAAATGGAGCGGGGCGGGGAAGGGAAAGGAAGGGAGTGAAATGAGGCATAAGCCTAATATGATAAATGGTCTGCACATTCACAAGCTTTCTTTGTTAACACTTTTAGCATTGTTAACACCTTTCTTATTTTCCTCTCGTGAAGCATCTCCCTCTTCAGATAAGCACAGGATGGAGGATGGTTGGGTAACACTGGGTAAAGAGATGAAAGCAGTCTAAAAGACTAAACAACTAAGCAAACAAAGACTATTAAAGGCGAAACAATAAACTCTGGAAGCACTCGATTCTGTTGCTGGGAAGGGACGCCCCATCCCTAGGAAGACTGAACGCTTTCCTTCTCCTGTTCGATGGCTGAAAGAGAAGGACAGAGTTAGGAAGCTTAAAAGGTGAGGGAGGGCACATATCCTGGCAATCAACAAACTGGGCAGTGGGGAGCCAACAGTTTACTCTGGATTTCAATTTCAGCCATCCCGATGCAACTGTGTAGTGTTAAGTGGGATAAAGTAACTTTTTTTTTCAAGTGTTACTAAGCAAAGAATAGAATGACTTGAATTCATGAAAGCATTCTTTTTTCCTATGCTATTGACCAGAATTTCTCAAGTCTTTTACATGATTCACATGGGGAAGGCAATTTCAGGTTTGGCTCCCCCCCCCCCCCCCCCCCCCCCGAGAAATGTGACTTTACATAAATGTGATGTAACACATAGCAGCAAGGAGAGCTTCAAGCTTTTGCAATTACAGACCGCAGGAGAATGGGAGACTTGGGTTTCCAAGCTCACTGATTCACATGGGAAGTCGAAATTTGGGGAAGTATGACTTGTGGCACCACCACCCATTTGACCTTTGTCCGTGACTTACTTTCCTTGGAAGGAAGAGTATTCTTCTCTTCTGTGCTGGTCTTTTTCAGCTTTTTCTTGTCAAATTTTTCCACTTCAGAGAGGTCTGGTTTGTCACACATTTTGGCTAGGAAGAATAAGAAATCTTTCATTCTTACCTGGTACAAGGCAGTGAGCTATTCCAGAGTAGGCATTTTCAAGGATCCCTTAAAGAAAGTAGCCAATTCTCCAAGAGAAAAGGAATGCAGAAGCAGAGATTGCAGCTGTTAGACAAAGCCTTAGTCCTTACCCATGTTAGTTCTTGTTGGCAATTTTGAACCAAAAGTAAAGTGGTTAAAGAAACCAAAACTCCGAGAAGAGACAGTATTCTTTCAATCACTACGCTTCTTACAAACTTTTTGAAAAAGGGGCTCACACTTTAGAAGCTGCTGAGCTAGCCTCTGTCTTTCAGGTTTGACATATGGCTAACTGTGTCTCTGAAAGAGAGATGGCGGAGAGGAGTTGGGAAGGTAAGAAGTCTCTTAGGTTTCCTAGAAGAACACTCTATGGGACAAAGCTACCTTCCTAGGGGAGGGGAGCCCAGGCAGGCAGCAGCCTGGAGGGGTGGGGGGCTTGCCGGGTCAGCTGCTTCGGTCATGCCCACGTTTCCAAGAGGCAGACGCCACACCCATACCATGCTTACCAGGGGGGCTGATGGAGAGCTGCTCCAGCTGCCAACCAGCCCCAGATGGCGCCTAAAGCACGTGCCTATCTACATACCACCCCCTCGCCTCCGAGAGCCGAGAAAGTGGCAGCTACATGGGGGAGGGGCGATCTTGGAGGAGAGTAGAGACCCCCGAGAGGATGGTTGAGGGAAGGGGCGCTTCCTGTGGAGAAGGAATCACAGAAGGAGGCGCGCACTGACAGTAATCGCCGAGGGGAGGAGCGATCTCTAAGCGGGTCTGCTCACCCGAGGGGGAGAGATCAATGAGGGAATAACCGAGGGGATGGCCGAGAACTCCTCCCCAAAAGGAAGGGCCCGTTGAAGAGGGCCATCCATGAGTCGCATTTTCCTCCCTCTTCGTCTCCCAAGGGCCCCGTCGAGCCTTATCCCGGCCCGGCCCGGCCCGGCCCTGCCCGATCCCATCTCAGCCCGCCCGCAACACCTGCACTCGGAGCTGCGAGCCGCTGCCACCGAACCTCGTGGCCTGCGCCACGCGGGCGGCCCCGGCCCCGATCGCGGAGCTGAGCCCCGGCTGCTCCTGGTCCGGCTGGGGATCCCCCGAGGCCGCGTCCCGTCTAGGCGCCGGGGCCGGCCCCGGCGTCGGCTCCCTGGCCCGCATCCCGGGCAGCGGGGCCCCTCGGATGGTGCTGCCCCAGGCTCTCGCGTCGCCCGCCCGCGGTGGCAATGCGAAGGGCGGGCGAGCCTCGGGGAGCCGACGACGCCCGGGCAACGCTCGGCGCCTTGCCCTCGGCCCCTGCTCTGTCTTGCACCGTCCCGCCCCCCGGCGGTGCCCGGGGCGCACGCGCCAAATGGCGGCGTCTGGGCAGAGGGTGGGGTGGGGAGACGGGGCGCTGTCCAGCCGAGCAGAGCGAGCCCGTCCCGGCCCCGCCAAACTCACCTGTTAAACTGGGTGCCTGGCGTGCCTGCTGGTAACTGCTGCTGCTGCCGCTGCTGCTGCTGTCCGAGCCTCCGAGTCGATGCAGGAGATAGCGAGAGCTACGGCAGGTTCAGGAGAGCTGGAGCGGGAGCTGCTGCGGGCGCGAGCTTTATAGTGCAGGCCGGGCCCCGCGCCCCGACCCGGCGCCCTCCCGCCCTCCCATTAGCTGAGGCGGCGCGCCTCGCCCCCCTCGGGTGCCCAGGACCGAGACTGTCTGCTACCCCTCCTCCTACGCCCCTTCCTGCCTCCCCCCCCCTCCCCCCCCCCCCAGTTGTGCTAAGGGGTTTGTGATACCGGCTGCTTTAAGGCCAGTTCCACACCGTCCCCTCTCCCCGCCTCCCCTTCTCGGTCCAGTCCTTCTCTGAAAGCCCCTCACATAAGACATAGGACATAGGATTCGAAATTCGGAGCTGAAAGGGACCTCAGAGACCACTCCTATATAGTCCAACCTCCTCCTTACATAGAAGAGGCAACTGAGGTCCCCAGAGACCAGGTCACTTGCCCCCAAAGCTCAAGTACTGTCTGCAGTTCGATTCAAACCCAAGTCCTAAACTCCAAAGACACTCCAGCGCCCTGACCCCATTGCCCCGACTCAGCATGCTCCTCTCCTGTTCCCCTAACACGCAGAGCTTCCAGGCGTCCCGCAGTCACCCGTGCACGATCACAGGGTCTTATCCCAACCCACATCCGAAGGGAGCCTCCACCATAATGCAGCCAGCCAGCTTGGAGACCTCCAGGGAGGAAAAGCCCGATACTCAGAGACAAGCCAGGGCACTTGGGAACACCTCGAACTGTGGGGAGGTTTTTCCCTGGATGTTCAGCCTCACTTTGCCTCTCTGCAGCTTTCCCCCATCACCAATTCTGGGACTGCCCTCTGGGACCACACCTAGTCAGTCCAAGTCCCCTTCCACGTGACAGCCCCTCAAAGACTTGAACACAGCTCTCGTGGACCACCCAGTCTTCCTTCGGCTAAAATCCCCAGTTCCTTCAACCCATCCCCTTCACTATCCCGGTGGCCCTCCGGTCTGGACACTGTCCCGCTGCTCCTCCTCTTTTCCGAAACTGTCTTTTCCAGAGCTGAATTACACTGCTCAAGATTCGTTCTGCTGGGGACAGAGGACTATTGCCTTCCTATTCCTAGAAGCCATCTCTTTGAATGCAAACCTAGATCCCACTGGTGTTTATGACTAGGACATGGGAACTCTGCCCCAGTGTCCAAATTTAGGGAGCATGGCTGCATAGCAACAACTAAGAGGTCATACTAAGTCCTCAAAACTTTTTTTAACTAGGACCTGTGATTTCATCCCTGTAGACAATTTCTGATGTGGAACACAGCTTATCTGTAACTAACAGCCTAAGAGATTCTCCGGAGCACTGGGAAGTTAAATGAGTTGCCAATGGTCACAGAGCTAGCAAGTGTTAGAATCAGGACTTGAACCCAGATCTCCCAGGCTCTAAGCCCAAAATTCTGTCCACTCCACCCACCTATCTGTTATTTTCAAGAATAGTTATAATTAGTGAATTACAAGCTTCCAGGTGGCCCACTGTTTCTGCACCCCCAAATGATCTCATCTCTGCACTGTCCCTGCTTAACTGTATGGAGGTGCTCTCACAGAGATCTCTCTCTGCTGGGCAAAATCTTACTTCAAACCAGGTAGTACAGTAGGGAGCCTGGGAGCTATGATGCAGGAGGAGAGGCTCCACATGCACATATCTCACATACCTACACACTTGGGATTTCAATGACGTGTTTCTCTCTACCATAGACTCTTAACCTGGTGTCCATGAACTTAAAAAATTTTTTTTTGATAACTGTATTTCAATGTAATTGGTTTCCTTTCTAATACTATACTTTTTTTGTATACATTTTAAAACCTCATTCTGAGAAGAGGTCCATACGCTTTACCATATGGCCAAAGGGGTCTTCGACAAAAAAGTCTGCTCTATGCCATCTGCTGGCTTACCAATTTGGCATTCCTCAGCAACTGAACTCCATGGAGGAAACTATCCTATATGTACAAATACACTTACAGCAGTTTGGTTTGTTTTTTTTTTTGTTTGTTTTTTGTTTTGTTTTGTTTTGTTTTTTAGTGGTCACAAACTGAAAGCTAAGGAGGCAGGGTGCCTATCCGCTGTGGAATGGTTGAACAAATTATGGGATGCCATAAGAAATGATGAAAGAGATGGTTTCAGAGAGATCTGGGAAGGTTTGCAAGGAGAACAATTTAGACTGTATCGACAACATTGTAAAAATGAACAGTTTTGAAAGAATAAGTGATCCACCATGATTCTTCTAGAGGACATATGATGAAGCAGGCTACCCACCTCCTGACAGAGCAATGATGGGCTTAAAATGCACAATGAGACACACATGTTTGGACATGGACAATATAGGGAATCTGTCTCGCTTGACTGAATATGTTACAAGGGCTTTCTTTGTCTTTTCAGGGGGTTGGGGAGAAAATAAAATTTAATGAAAAATAAAAACCTAATCACCATGACACGAGAGACTGTGAAATGGACTAAGGAGTGGGATGTTTCTTCTTCCACGAGGAAGGGAATAGCACCTGCCAAAGAAACATCCGGACACAATCATCAAAAGTCAAAGGATGGAAGGTGGAAACCTTTCGACAACAGCGCCACCCAGTGCCTACTGCAAAGAAATCAAATTGGCAGCCAGCTATTTACTCCCGGGCAGGCTGTGACTACAATCAGTATTTAGTATGAGGGCCAACTAGGTACCAGGCACTGTGCTATGCACTGGGGATTTAAAAGCAAAACAGTAGACTCCTAGACCATCAGAGCTGGAAGGGAGCTTAGCAATTCCGGGAATGATGGACTGAATGAATGAATGGGAAAATGAACGAATGAAGGAAAAAACTTCTATTAAGCACTTACTATGTTCCAAGCATTGTGCTTTGGAGATATAGAAAAGCAGGACAAATCCTTGCTCTTGTTCTAATTAAGGGAGACAACATATGGAGGGGATTTCAGCAGCAGGGCACACGGAAAGGCCCAATGCTCCTTAGGGTGCAATGGCAAAGCAGATGGTAATAATCTTCTTGAGTGTCATTTCCACTGATAAAACCACCTCCATTGATGATGCTAAGCTTTTGACTAAGGATTTGATGCTAAGGATTTGGTGGCAAACCTTCTTTAACGATGGTGGTGACAGGGAGTGTCTCTCTACGGGTGATCATACCCTTAGATGATGATTGGGATATATGTATATGTGTATTTGTATGTGTATTTGTATTTATGTGTGTATTCGTATGTGTGCTCAAGAAGTAGGACTAGCAGCTTTCCCCAAAGTGACCCTTGAGTGCAGGGTCAGGACCCTTTCTCCACCTGGGTCTGAGGAAAAGCTGTAGTCATGCTGGTCTGAGGGGGTTTGACTCTCCTGGCACATACCAAGAGATTTTGTTGCTGTGGAGGCTGACCTCGACCTCCTCCCCCATCAAGAAACAGGTCATTTGGTGGCTTCACATTTTAACTAATACTAACATAATAACTAAGTGCTAGAGAGGCAGCATAGCTTAGTGACCAGAGCACTGGCCTTACAATCAACAAGACCCGAGTTCAAATACTGTTTCTGAAACAGTGATTCACTTGGCAGCATTGTAAATTATAAGGTCAGTTCTAAAAGCCTGACTTTAATGGGGGTGGGAATGGAAGTGGAAAGTGAAATGGCAGTCTAACAAATAGGCAGATGCTTTAGGTAAAAGGGCTTTCAGTGAAGCCCCCAAATCATTAGTCTGGAATGCCAGATCTAGAAGAGTCCTGAGAAATTATTTCCTGGGTACCCGTCTCCCCTTTAGCAGTGTGGTGAAGCCTATGGTGGATCCTGTCATAGAATAATGTTGTTAAATGGATAAAATAAAACATGTGATTACAGAGGAAATCAATGACACCAAAGAACAGTTGTCAAAATATAAAAAAAAAAAAACCAAGGTCATGGACTGTAGGTTAAGAACCACTGATTCCAGTCCAACTCATCCATTTTTAAAGAGGAGAAAGCTGAGGGGGGAAGTGACTTACCCAAGGTTACAGAGAAAAGCTTATTTAACCCTTATGGAAACTGAGCCCAATTTTCATCAACTCAGCATTAACTGTTAGAGTCAGAAGGGGCCTCAGAGAGGACCTTGTCAAATCCCTCGGTTTCCAGAGGGTACCTATCAGAGCAGAGACTAGAACCGAGTCTCTCCCTCCCAACCAGTCCCGGGTTCTTTCAGCCAGGTGGCTGATATTTAGTGCCACCCCTCCCTCCTCCACCCCCACCCCTACCTCCTAGGCTTTCTACAGCAGCAATGTCATGACTCAGGACTCACAGCTGAGCAGGAAGGGGGCCCTCTTAGTGTTTCCAGGGCCACCTTGACTCTAAGTCTGCCCTTCCCCTTTCCGGATATGTTAGTGGAGTGGTCCAGTTCTGCAACTGCTTACCCCGATCCTCCCTCTGGCCAGCAGTCACGATCCCCCCCCCCCCCCATTCCAGGGAAAACAGAACGTGCTGCCGCATGGAACATAAAGGACCACTCCTGTTGGCATTGAGTAGGTCATGACTGGCAACCATGACCCCCACCCTGCTCCTTTCTCCCCTTTGATAGAGTGGGAGCAAGCTCCTTCTTGCCCTCACTCTCCCCAATCTTGTCTCCTATTCTGCCCCCCCCCCCCCCCCCCCCCCCCCCCCCCCCCCCCCTTCCTTGTAGGAAGGAGTGCAAGTGGTATGATCTGGCCTCTGATTGTTAACTCCTTCAGGGCAGGGATCCAGGAGGTCTTCAATCCAGTTCCATGATCCAGGGGATACTGAGCACAGGGCTTAGCAAATACTCGTTGAATTAACTGAATTGAATTGAATGTCACTGTCCTTAAACCACCTCACCAAATCGGATCTAGTCAAAGTCCACTGGACCTCAGATGCAGAATCCCCAATAAAACGACGTCTTTGTGTCAGCTGTGCAATACGGGCAGTGCTCCACGGATGACTGTACACAGGTATCTTATTTCTAGGGATCTTGAAACCTCAGTGCTTTAACAGGTAACACCGCAATGCCAGAGTCCTATTGAAACTGCCTGTGAGATGAGAGACTGCAGATGTTGAATGTGCTGTTCAGGTGCTCAGGGTGGGCTTCTGGGTCCACGGTGGTTGTTTAAATATTTTTCTTACAAGGAAGGGTGCAGGACGGGAGGAATACCGCCAAGAGAACGAAAGGCAACAATGACATTTTCTAAAACAGTGCCCGACATCCCTGGATTTCGGGTTTAGAGATGGAACTTCAGAGTTCATCTACTCCAGAACTGTGAGATGATTTGCTCCACAGGTAAAAAGCAGCAGAACACTGGGAGTTAGGACCCAGGTATTGTGACTCCAGACCAACAGTTTTTGGCAAATAAGACTACTCTGTCTTATTTGCATGTCCTTTTATATGACAAAATTTACAAAAAGTTTTCAAAATCTTCCCCAACTATTTACTCATTTACCCTCTAAGCCCCCAAACCTTACTCTACTTCCTCCGGTGAACACTTCTTTGCAGCTCTGGTTGTCCCTTTGGGGTCCAATCAGCTCAGGCAAGCCCAGCCTGGAAAGGCTCTGGGCTGCCTTCAGTGCCCAGCCTCTACCCTAGCATGGGCACTAGGACCCGAAAGTGGCAGCACTTCCTAGATCTCAATCAGCTTGAGGCCACTCCAAGAAGTGATCACGATGACAAATACCTGTTGCCTCTCTACTCCACCCCCCACCCCACCCCACTCCCCATGCTTCCCATCCCCTCCCCCCTCCCCCCAGGTAAGCTTCTTCAGGTCAAGAGACTATTTTTTTCTTCTTTTCTTTGTATTCTTAGCACTTAGCTCAATGCCTGCTACCCAAAACATGCTTGTCGATTTGAGTTGCTCTGTTCGCCTCCTAGAGTTACCATAGTGATTCTTCTATTGTCAAGGGTGGTCTTTTCAAACCGAGGATCTTGCTCCCCTAGCCCCTCAGCTGGACTTGCCACAAGTAGAGAGAAAGCTCACATTCTTTCATTCTTCCTAATTGCTTTCTTGAAAATCCTTGAGACCTCAGGGCACAATCTTCTTTCCAGCAGCCCCTGAAAGTTGGCCAGAAGCCAAGGGCAGTGTCAGCATAAGGAAACTGAAGCAGTGGATAGAATGGGGTGAGAAGCTTCGTTGATAGCAGAAAGATGACATGGATGTTAGTTCCATCTTCCCTGGAGTCCTCCACTCGTGGCAATGGGCCTGGATTCTTGAAGGTTCTTCCTACAACCTACCAAGCTGGGGTCTGGTGATAGACTTGAAATCTGGCGCTGGGGCCTGGTGATAGACTTGAAATCTGGCGCTGAAGAACCATTCTAGCTACGTGGCGAGAGGCCCATCGCCGGGTTGGCAGCAGTGTGATTGATTGTTTTGGCTAGAGTAAATCTTAAAGACCATCTACTGAGTCCAGGGGAAAGCAGCCACAGTGATGACTGAAGTGACATATTGAAGCTAATACCATATGATAAAATAATCTGACAATCTAATTGCTGGGAACTTCTCTCAGTTCCTAACTGAATAACTGCCCTTGGTTCTCTAGGCCCAGAAGAAGCAAACAGACCCAGAGGTGAGTTATCGGCCCATTGTAGACCCAGGCTGTAAGAACACAGTCCTAACACCCTCTGGGATGCCTCTGGGCTACTCAGTCACTCTCCTCCGCCCTGGGGCAGTTGTTTTCCTGCAAGAAATCATGGATAGCAGTGGTGAGTCCCCAGGTGACACAGCAACGGAGGGTGACCAAAGAGCCGCCTCGGTAGATCAGAAGCAGCTTTCGGCCCCTGTCCTCCCAAACAGCCTGAGCGGAAGCCCACAGGCCTGGTGCTTCCTGCCAACCTACCTGTGACTGCATGTTGGCAACGAGGACACTGAGTGGGTAAAGCAGGAGACATGTGAGGGTCCCGTTGACACTACCAGACACTAGAGCTGGGAGCCAGCAGGGCAAACCTTGTTCTGTCAGGCCGTCTCGGATGGGATCTTTGAAAGAGAAGTAGAGAGCGCTTCCCAGACTGTTTCTCAGGAGGACGGGAAAGAAGCCCCGATAGTAGCCCATGGCCAGCCGTTCCCATAAGCCGTAGGAGTTGAATTCCCGTAGAATGCTGGAGGTGCTGGGGAATCGGGCATCCTTCCGTCCATCCTGAAGCACGTTCTGAACTCGTTCAAAGGGGGTCAACACCACAGCTTCCACTGCTCCTGACAGGAACCCAGCAACCCAGCGCTGCCATAACCTAGAGGTGCCAGTAGGAGAGAGAGCTTGGAGCAGGTTGTCATGGGTGCCGAAGAGCAGGGTCCCCTGCAGGGTCTTGGCCAGAAGGGGAGGGTAGATTCCCCGGTAGAAGCGGCGAAGGCCCTCATGGTGCAGTTGATTGACAGCCTCTGGTACAGACAGGGCATGGATCTGCTGGCGGAACACAACCTTGTAGACGGGAAAGGTCACGAATGTAGACAGGAAGCTGGAAATGGCCCCAAGGGTGTAGCTTCCAGAGTGCCAATGGTGGTCTTCTGGGCTCTTTTCTCTTTTTACTTCTTCGGGTTCTTCATAGGGAGCCTCAGACCGCTCCCCCATGCTGCTCACAACAGGCTTGGGCTGGAAATAACTGGCAAAGAGGGCAAAAGAAGCATAAGTTCAATTGGCTGTTAAATGGTTTTGCTTTTTGTTGCAAATGAAGCTGCTGCACTTTGAGAAATTGTGACTCTCTGGGATTTTTCACTTGAGAACACAAGAAACCATAAGCATTAGAGGCAGAGTCAAGTTTTCTAATAAGATACCAGCTTTTAAAGAATTGTGGACCTTCATCTTTGTCCTTGCCTTTTCTTTTCTAATTTCAAATAAGTATAGGAACTCTTCAATTTCTAAAAAGACACTAAAGCCTGGGGGAGGAAAAGGAGGGCTTTGTCTGCCGGCTTCCATGGTCGCAATTTTTGCCACAGTGAACTGGGCCTAATGAGCCTCATTTTCTGAGCTGACATTTATAACCGTTTCTCTTTCCTTCTCCCGTGACATGGTTCCCCAGGGGCCAAAATGCATATTACTGTTACATCCGTCCTCAGTGTACTCCCCTCAAGGGAAGGGGGGGATATAAGCGTTTCTATAGCGCCCACTGTGTGCCTAGCACTTTTTACAGAGATTACCTGCCTTGATTCTCTCCTTCAGACGCAGGGTTTCCACTGCGCCCCCTAGTTGTCATAAACTGCAATGCTCTCATTGTCTTACACACAGATCTTCCTTCATTACATCATCCCTCTCGCTGAAGACTTTGGGCCCGCCCCTGAAACCATTAAGGCCCTTCGGCTGCTCTTCAAATGTGGCCTCTTAATTAGTGAGCTTGCCACATCTCAGGCCTGCAGACTGGAAGGCACCAGCCATCGCACATCAGCTTGATTATAATGGTTGTTCTGTCTCACTTATGACAAACCACTCTTCTATCCTCTGTGGAAACAGCTTCTTTGCTTTAATGGCACCACTTAGGACTCTTAACACGTACTATTTTCTTTCAATAGCCCTCAATCAAAAGCCTAACATGCCACTGAGCCAGGGTGAAAAAGCCAGAGGGACCCCTGTCCATGCATCAGGGTTGTGAGCAGGATTTTGTACTAATGGGCTCCCCAGAATAGTCACAGATATATATAGATAGATAGATAGAGAGAGAGAGAGAGAGAGAGAGATATGGAGATATCTATCTATCTATCTATCTATCTATCTATCTATCTATATATAACTGGGGAGCAGAGAACTTCCAGCTGGAGCCTGGGTGTCCCCAAATTCTGGGACCTGACTATAGTCCCATGTTCTAAATGTGCTTTTAACAGAAACAAAGGATTGGAGGATACCTCAGGTAAAGGGAAAAGAGCATTAAATTCAGAGGCAGAAGACCTAGATTCAAAATCTAGTGCGACTACTTGCATCCTGTGGAACCCTGAACAAATAATTTCACCTCTCTGAACCTCAGTTTCTCATCTGTAAAATGAGAGGGCTGGATTGCAGCTTGAAATTCATGAACCTACGTCCTATTCCCAGTACCATCATCAATTGAAAAAGATAAGCAATCTAACCTCATCCACTCCATCTCAACACTCCCCACCCCAAAGGGGAAGGCAGGAAGCCATTACATCTGCTAAGGGCTCCCAGCGGAGCCTCCGATAACTTCCAACCACGAGGAGTCAAGAACAATAGGTCCACCAGTCTAGGGTTTGGTTTAAGCTCCCCCCCCCCAAGAAAAGACATCCTCAGCTGCTTCCCTTGGGAAATGCACAAGGGCCACGCCCCTGCAGTTTTCCAGACAAAGGCAGGAGAGCGTGTTAGCAATGGCCAACTCACCTTCAATGGAAGAACCAGAGGGCAGGGCAGTCAACTCTCGATCACCCCACCTACCTCCTCATTGTGTCCCCCACCCTCGTTTTAGGAAGAGAAGCCCCTCCTTTAGGGCTAGGGAACCCAGGACCAGCCAAGGGGGGGCTCCGTAAAAAGTTCCACACCAAAGGGAAAAGCAGAGGCTCTTTGTATGTGGGGGCCACGAAGCTGAGGCGACAGTCGCTGTGGTCTGGCTTTTTGTTCCCTCCCCTCAAGCTAGTGCAGTTTGGGGGCGGGGGAGGAAGGAGTACAGAAAGAGGCCTCTTTTCAGAAAAGCAATTCTGGGGAACTGCCCCCCCATCTCTGCTAGTTTTTAGGGTGAGGGAGACGAAAGATGGGGGTGGCCATGTGGGAATGAGGGTAATTGGGA